TAAAAATGTTTTTTTCTGCACAATTTGCCATTGCTCGCTTTTGAAATCCTTGAGTTTGTTAATCAAAAATTCGTCAAAGTTTTAAAAAAAAATAGGAAATCGATCATAAAAACAAATTTCAATTTCAAATTTGGTCTTCACATGCTCATATTCGTTGGAGGATTACGTTATTCAAATTCGATGACTCTATGTACCGTTGTTTTATCACAATACGAGAATATACATACATTTACGCAGAGATTTTCATTATTTAATTTCTTCAAAATAATGCAGGACTCTAACATTTTGTGGCAACAGTTTGAAAAGTGAACCGACGTTTATGAGTCCGACGCAAAATGCCAAAACGAAAGCAATAGTCCTTCGGGACAGAAATCCCTTTGGACTAATAACCTGATGGGGATATCACATGATTTCCTTGTAAGCCTATTAAAATATACACATATTTTGCTGCACTTCATTTAAATTTATCTCCTCGAATTATTCTAACTTAATTAACTGAACCCTCGAGGCAAGCTGACAATCAAAAATTGCAAATTTTTCAAATTAAATATCCCGGTTAATTCTTGTTGCGCGGCAGTCAAATTTCTTATAATTTTATTTTTTCATAATGAGTATAAAAATTTCCCAAATATAAGTATGGGAGCTGGAGGACCGCATTAAAAATTAAATTTTGTTAATTTGTCCAAAAATAAGTTTTTTAAAAATTTGAAATTGCCAAAACACTTCTGTAACTGGAAGTGTATGTCTATGACGAACGATTACGAAAATGAAGGCCATGTAATGGGGGGGGGTCGCGTGTGTATATATATATGGTTGTGTATAATGTATGGTTTGATGAATATTGATTGAATTTTACATATTTTGGGGAAATTTGGATTTTATGGTTATTAATTGCATTTCTTTGATGTGTTTGCAAATTTGGTTCTTAATTTCTTTCTTTTTGTCTATATTAATGTTATTATACTTTATACTTTATATAAAATTATATATGTATATTATACAGTATTATGTAGTATATATATTATATAATATGTAAAGACGTAAGTAAGAAATTTAGAACTAATTTTTCACAAAGAAAACAAATTTCAAATAATCATATAAATGCAGGATTATTTGAAATTTGTTATTATGAATTTCAATTTTTGGTCTTTGTGAAAAATTGGTTCTAAATTTCTTACTGTGTGTCTTTACTGATAATTTTTCAGCAGCTTAATGTGCGAAAATACTAGGCATGATTCTATTTTGTTTTTAAAAATTTTGTTTTGAAATTATTATATAAAAGATGTATATATACTGCCACTATGTTATCCGGCTTGGTAAGCTCAATTATTTTTTACTTAAATGTTTGTAAATTGTGCGCTTTTTTGCTTTAAAATTGATTTAATTATGTTGTTCTTATGTCCCGGTTAAAGTTTTTATGCCTTTAATTAATCTGCATGTAAATAGTTGTAGAATTATAAAGTCTCGCTAGGCCTAACCAGGCCTCCATTTCCTTACACTTAAATTCTTACTTGAATAGCAAGGAGGTTAGAATAGAAGGAGGGAAGGTTCAGCTCAAACGGTGAAGCTTGGCGGCCATCTTCCTGTTATCACCGTGACTTGTGCAAGGAAATCTGTCATTGCAACATTTTTTTCTTTTTGAAGCATGTCAGCTGTGCATTGGATGCACAAATAGATTCTCGAAAAACATTCCGGGCATTATTTTTCACACGTAAGTATCAATTTTCTTTTTTATGTAATATGACAACTATATAAAAAAATATCACAATGTCATGTGGTTTCCTTTCCAGATGTGAAAAAAAAAAAAGGACCTTAAAATAGGTTATTTAATATAACTATAATCAAAATATATTAAATACATTTTAATGTTTCTGTTTTATAGCTGTATCTTCGTTCCTTAAGATACAATGCTATATGGTAGGATTTAAATTGTATAATTTGAACGTTTAGTTAATTCGTTTTATAAACTTCATGGAAAAGTAAGAAATCAATTGTTACTACTTTATTAATTGTAAAGGTGTTAAATAAAGCAATGCTTTTCTTTATTAATTATTATTATTCATTTTTTCAAGTTAAGATAACTGTTCTGTTAAAAATTTTTGCATAAACTTACAAATTTCTGGGCAGTATAGTGATAAATTAAGTAAAAATTTACACAATTGAACATGTGGAAAGATGTATCCAAAAAAACTTATAGGTTGTATTTCTGTAATTCAGCTTAATAAAGGCAGTTTCTTTGAGATTAATAATATGAATGCGCATAAACTGAAATCAATGAATTCACATAAATCTGTTTTATTTTATTAAGATTTATTTTCTACCTAAGCAAATCCGTGAAATATGCAGAAAACGTAATTTTTTTAAAGGCTTTAATGTTATGCGCATGCATTTAGATTTCGAACTATTTCTAATAATTTGCTGTACATAGTTATGGATATCATCTTTATACTTTAAAACAAAAATTCACAATAGCGAGGGTTTCATTTAAATTTAAACATATTTTTACTGGAAAATAAATGCCACAGAACAGCTTAGAAACACGTACATGTACCGCCGTAATGCAATGTTTTGAAGTCACAAACATGGACGCCGCTTGTTCGGCGGAGTTTCATTCCCCGATAGTGGAGGAAACTACGAACCCTCCCTCCTTCTACTCTAACCTCCTTGTTGAATAGTGAATTAATCATTTGGTGCACCAAGTTAAGAATCTTTTTTCCCAACGGGGCCAAAAATTAACTTTCAGCTTGGTGCACTGAAAATGTTGTCTTCCTGTCCGTTGGAGGTAGTGCTTTTTTTTTTCACACAAACTCTAATTTTAGTTATAATTTTGTTTATTTGTTTTTAATTGTGTTTGGTGTTTTAGGTTTTTTTCATATTTTACAATTTTTATGAAGATACTTTGAGCTTTTATATATTTTTTCCTTGCCGAGAACTGTATTGATTGAATGCTATATCTCTAATGAAATATGAGGAAATAATGAAGTGCAGTGAAATATGTATATAATTTAATAGGCCGTACAAAGGAGTTAGCTCTTTAGTTTAAACTATAGTATAAACACATAAACAAATCCTGAAATAAAATTATCATTTCAGAATAATTTTTCAAGAGAAATCGAACAAGATTAGTTTCAAAATCAGGAAAATTTTCAAATTAATATCGTAATACCATTTTTAAATCCTGAGATTAAATCCTCTTTTAATTATTTTATGCAGTGTTTGACTATGCTAAGGGAGCTTTAGCCAATATTTTATTTCAGCGATTCCTATAAAATTAAATTAATATCAATAAACTTTCATTTACTGAGCAATTAAATATGAGATACACGCATGATTGTGGAAAAAATATTTTCACTCTGGAACACAATAATACATATTAGACTTCATGCCACTGATTGCATAATTATCCATCTGGGCTTAATCGCTACGAAGGCCTTAAAATCATTTATTATCCAAATTTATTTGCCCAGAAGGATTATTAATTTTATTTTGGCATCTTGCGTTGAAATGCCCGTTTCACTTTTTAAATTGTTGCCACCACATATTATTCTCCTGTGTTATATTTAAAGAAATTAAATAATGAGGAATCTGCATGAATGTATGTATGTTCCTCGCATTGTGATGAAACAGCGGTACCTAGAGACATCCAATTTTGAATAACGTAATCATTCACCGAATATGGGCATCAGGAAGCCCTAATTTAGAATTTGTTTTATTATCTATTTCATATTTCGTAAAGCATTTATGAATTTTTGATTAAGAAACTCAACGATTTCAAAGCTAGCTATTGCACTGTACGATTTAAAAAAAAAAAAAAAAAAAAATCTGAAATGTAACATTTTGTGTGTTACCTTTCTTTATTAAATATCATGTTCCTCGCACTTAAACCATAAGATCCAGTGCAACAGCAATATCGCAAAATAGTTTTAAAACGAGCATATCTTTAGAATTTTCGATACAGAGACTCACGCGCTGGAGATAAAAATGTTTTTTCTGCACAACGTTGCCATTGCTCGCTTTGAAATCCTTGAGTTTGTTAATCAAAAATTCGTCAAAGTTTTAAGAAATAGGAAATCTATAATAAAACAAATTTCAAATTTCAAATTTGGTCTTCCACAGCCTCATATTCGTTGGAGGATTACGTTATTCAAATTCGATGACTCTATGTACCGTTTTTATGACAATGTGAGAAATAACATACATTTACCGCCGATTTTCATTATTTAATTTCTTCAATATAATGCAGGACTCTAACATTGGGTGGCAACAGTTTGAAAAGTGAACCGACATTATATCGTCCGACGCAAAAATGCCCAAAAACGAAAGTAATAGTCCTTCGGGACTGAAATCCCTTTGGACTAAAAAAAAAAAAAAAAAAACTTTTTTATCTCCAGCGCGCGGAACTGTGTGTCGGAAATTCTAAAGATATGCTCATTTTAAAATAATTTTGCGATAATGCTATTGAACTGAATTTTCTGGTTTAAGTGCGAACAACATGATATTTAATTAAATAAAAGTAACACACGAAACTTTAAAAAAAGGCCCCTTTGGACATAATATAAAATCTGAAAGCTTTGCGATTTTTTATTTATTTAGTTATTTTTTTCTCTTAAAATTTTATGAAAATCCTACAGATTTTTTGAGGACGATGCAATCTGCAATTAATTCATTGCTAGTAAGAACTGTAAATTAATCATTTAAAAACTTTATTTCTTACTTTCTGCTATTATTTTCCTCATATTCTTAATGAAATGAATTAATTTATTAAGTATAAAATCAATAATTATTTTAAATACCTAGCATAATTAATTATACATACAACAATGGAAAAGTTTATTCAGTAATAATGTAAAAAGCAAAGGAATTACCCTCTGAAACGCCTACTTTGGCGCGATACGTAGAATTAGGCGCCAACTACCGCCAAGAGAGTCGGAGATATGGAAATGCATTGGAACTTGTTTTGACTGTGGTAACCCTGTTCAGGTGAGCGCGTGTGTACACACAGGACCTTCGCACCGCGTAGTAAGGTTTTGCCTCATCCGTAGGCGAAGGTTGCGTTTCTCCGCGCATTTGGATACTACACCAAACAAGTGTTTTTGGGTGGACGCATGCCATTTGGATATATGCATTTTTTATTTCCTGATAGAATTATATTGAGCAAAATCTTCTTGGTTTATGTTTCCTGAGACGGCAAAGAAATTTGGGTAAGCAAAATATATATATATATATATAAATATTAATGTGATATTCTCGTTAGAACAAATTGTGTTTTTCGTTAGTATTTATTTTACATCGAGAATGTTCAAAAATATTTTTTCTTATTGAACAGTTATTAAAATATGGGAATAATCATTGATTTGTATGGATAAGTGTATGCATCTAAGATCATTCGAAACTTGGTATGGTTATTGAATGCAAAACTTGTGTGTTAACATAAATTGATATCAAAATAGTAATAAAATATCATAATCAAAGAATAATAAATTATTAAGAAGCATTTAGAGGTAATCTGTTTAGGGGATGCATGCCTTTGTACAAAGATTTCTGTGAGAAGTTTGCTCATTTGAACATAGTAAATATAAAGAGGATTATAAAAATCCAGTGTAGCCAGCTTACTAAACTACAAGGAATTGAACGCACGGAAAACTACCGCAACTGTGCGATTGAACAAAGCTTTCGATCTCCTCCGATCTGCCTTGGAATATTTTTTTTTTTTGGGGGGGAGGGGAGGATGGATTTTTATTATTTAGATTCTAGCAAAGCACACTAGAGCAGTCTGCCAGAGGGAAGGGATGTGTTCGTGGAGGACTTTTTGGGAGATTAACTGGCTAGCACGAGGAAAACCACGAAAACTTCCATGTAGTTAGCACATTCGTTGGGATTTGAATTCAAGTCGAACTACCAGTGTTCAGTCGTTTTACCGCACGGCCTCTGGTGAGAGCTTCGCCACTGTCCATCAGACATTTTTTTGCTGAACTAAAATAAATAAATCTAAATTTTATTCATTTAAAGAAGTATTAACAGCAATATTTAATTGTCAGTTTATTTTAAATTAATGATTTTATTTTCTTAAGGTATTATAATATTCATATGTATATATAAATACCGTGTCTCCAAAACTCTTTTCTCGGCCATTGTTTTCGCAACCATTAGGTGTTCATTTGCAAAAAATATCTTAAGTGACGCAAATATTCATGTTTTATTTTTCTTTTTAAATTCAAGCATATTTGCAAGCATTATGAAATCATAACTTTGTATACGTTTTGCCTATCTCTTTACCTATATTTAGGAAAATTTTATACTCATTCAAAAAATAACATACAATGAACGTCATGTGTACAACAGAATTGACCGAGTTATATCATTTTAAATGGGCAGATCATACTCATTGGCTGTAAGCAAGTGATAAGTGAAATATCATTTTAGAAAGAAGTTTCTCATTGGAAGACCAAGTGACAGGCATTTATTTCTATGTAAATTATCGTGAAAAGTATTGATTCATAATATATATATATATATATTATAATATAGTGGTTTTTTTAATTTTCATTACAATAAAGTTGAAAACTTTTTAAGAATGCGCGCAAAATAAAAATTTTCTGAGCACTGTCTGTTCCTTTTCATATTGGCGCGTTTCGTCCTGAATCGAAAGAATTTCTTAATATTTGAAAATTTTCCATTACTCTAAAGTAGAGTACAATATGATTATTGTAATCCTGAACAGCATCGTAAAGTTTGGTTGTTGTCAGAAATATTAAGTGATTTTTTTTCGTAATATTGTAACTTTGAAATAATTAAATTTAGTGCATCATTTTATTATTATTATGAAAATTATTATAAAAATATTTGACTCATAATTTTCGTCATCTACATATCTGATTGTTTCGTTCGATCGTTATCCATCTGTTATTTTCCGCACGTAAATCGTCTGCTCGTTTTCATTTTGCCGGCTATATTTGAGCGGTGTTTGAGTAGCAGGTGCTTCGGGTGACTCACAGTCGTAATTACGTTTTTCAGATTTGCATGGATGCACTTGTCTTTCTCTTTTTTTTTTTATTTTTTTAATTTTATTGTGTTCATTTTCATTGTTTCATTTTTGCAAACTTCCCACCTGTTAGCTACCAGTTTTCTTTTGAAGAGACCTCGTATTCAAAAAAAAAAAAAAAAAAAAAAAAAAAAAAAGGAAGAAAGTTCCCCCCCCTCTTAATTACGGAAAACTAGAACCCTCTGTATAAAAAGCTAGTGTGCTCCATTAGTGAATTAGTATTCCATTCAGTGCAGCAAGCTACAATCCAAGTTTTTATTTATTAGTTGAAATTATTCATTTATGATATTTTTGAGTTCGTTTGAAAACATTTCTCAGATTATTTTTATACTGTTTGTTTGAGATGACTGACACCTTTCATTTATGATGCTATTTCGCTGACAAGGTACATTTTTTTTTTTTTTTTTAAATTAGAAGTTGGCGACTTCTTTTAATGACGATAATAATGAAAGTTGACGACGTTTTTAAATAAGATGTTGACGACGAACATGAGAAATTTTGCAGAATCGTCCACTTATTTGTTTGGGGCTTTTTACAAGAGTAAGAAGAATTGGATTTTTGTCAATTTTCTTTGACTTTTTAAGTGAAAATAGGTCGATGTGTACATGGATACCGAGTATGTGCAATTCTTAAAAACGCGCCAAGCAGTGGGCGATTCTGCACTTTCACCAAATTTTGTACATAATATATATTTTAGATTATGAATTCATGAGAGGATCTTGATCTTAAAATCAATTAAAAAACAAGATAAATTAATAACAAACAGCGTGTTGTTAATGAATTGAAAAAAAAAAAAAAAAAACACTATCATTTTATGGCTGAATACAGACATGTGTTTTTGGAGAACATTTTAAAGGAAATTTTCTCTCGTTTGCGTGTAGATGCGTAAAATCACAAAAAACACCAATAATTAATCCGAGACAAAACGGGGTGTATGTAATAATATCATAAATCCCTTATTTGTAGATAACACGCCAAAAATATGAATCTGCTAACTGTTCTTTTGAGAGAATGTTTTTGATATTTTGCATAAGCGTAGTTTTGAGGAGTTATTATTATTTTATCATAATGATTTTATCTTGTAGAACGTGAATTTCTGTTTTATAGTGCATTTAAAGGGAACAAATAAGTAATGGTTTCATAAATATTATGCTAATTTTAGAAATTATGTCCTGCGTCCTGTATTAGAGTTGCTTTTTTTTTTTTTTTTTTTTTTTTTTTTTTTTTTTTAAGTGTTCTGATAATGTTCTTTTAGTAAGGATAAGGCTTATTTCATGTATGTTTGGCTGTAAGCGAGGGGATGTTTCTTATCCCTTCCTTTAAGTTTTGAATATTTTCTGCGTTCTGTAAGTATTCATACGAAAGCAATAACACACTGACAGTGCCGTTATACTATAGAAAATTTACATTATCTAAGTAGTAAATTTTGTTAATTTAGTAAAATGTCATTAACTTGAGAATAAAGTATAAAAAGTTCTGTTTTACTGTCTTTTCAGATTCTGCGTGGAACGCAAAATAAATAAATAACAATAGTAATAATAATAAAAAAAAAGCTTTTAAGATTTTATATTACACCCAAAAGAGGGTTTTCTTTACCGTTTTGTGTGTTACTTTTATTTATTAAATATCATGTTCTTCGCACTTAAATCACAGAAAATTCAATTCAACAGCAATATCTCAAAATATGAGTATTTAAAAACAGCATATCTTTAGAATTTCCGATACACAGTCTTGCGCGCTGGAGATTGTAGCATCGTAGCAATCTTGCTTTTAAGCAAGAAGATGAGGACTTTGGCGAACGCCGTTTCCTCCAGTCCGTGAGTGCTTTTTTCTGTACAGCGTTGCCATTGCTCTCTTTGAAATGGCTGAGTTTGTTAATCAGAAATTCGTCAATGTTTTACAGAATTTTAAATCCGAAATTCAAAATTCGGACTTCAAGTGGCCGTGTTCGGTTGAAGGAATACGTTATTCAAAATTTGATGGCTCTAGGTACCGTTGTTTTTTCACAATGCGAGAAACATTCACGCATATTCTTCATTATTTAATTTCTTTAAATCTAATATTTGGTGGCAACAGTCTGAAAAGTAAACCAACGCAGAAAGTGAAACCTCGCGAAATTGCCGTTTTGTGACTAATAGCCCTTTGGGTTTAACGCCCCTTTGGGCTAAAAATAAATAGTTTAAATATGAAAAAAATAAATAATGATAATTAAATAAAATATGAAAAATAAGTTTTGCATTGATATGAGAAAAGAACAAAAAGAATTATTACTGATTTTAAGCGCAGTAACTCTGTAAATTTAGTAATTTTCAAGTGTAAGATAAAGCTTTGAAAAATAACGCAAATGATAAAAGCAAAATATGCTTATTTGGCGTTTGGCATGGCGGCAGAAGTATGGCAATAACGTAAAGCAAACAGTAAACTTTTTTTGGCGCCAATTTTAAATGAAACTATCGATGTCGATGAAGACCATATGTAGCACCCATCACTACAGAAGCAAAGAAAAAAAAATCTGAAGAACTCCTCAGAATTTTTTTTTTTTTTTTCTTCAGCGGTAGTGGGTGTTGTAGCTGATCTCCCTCGACATCGACAGAGTTTTATATAAAATTCTAGAATTTCTTTGCTTCTGGAGAAGAGAGATCTATAATTTAACAGCCCTCGAAATCGACAGTTTTATTTTAAAATTTTGCGCGCCAAAAAAGATGCTGTTTTGCCTAATTTTAAGTTTTATATTGGCGTGTTTCTCTTCCGGTTTGATTTATTAGCCAAAATGAATTGGTTAGTTGAGAAGTTTGTATTATATTCTTTATTTAATATTTCAATTATGATATGCGAACGGAAATACGAAGTGACTAGATATTAAAAATCATTCTTTTAATAAAATAAGCAAATGTTTTAAAATTTAAATCAAGGCAGAATTCAATGTTAGTCTGACACTGGTTTATAAAGAAGCTACCATTATACAAGTTTTTATAGAAAGTGTTTTCAGGGACACGGTTCTTCAAGCAGCGAACAAAAAAAAAAAAAAAAAAAAAAAAAAAAAAAAAAAAAAAAATGTTATTTTTTACAGACAGAGATAAAGGTCTCCCTTCTTCAAAATCAAATTATATTGAGCACGCTATGTGGTAGAATTGCTTTAAATAAAAAGTCTTAAACCGG